TTTGTCGGACCAACGGAGGTTCCTTCGCGGTGTAGTTCATGCCCGGACCTACGTTCGGCGTGGGTGACACTACGCAGCTGACAAGGAAGTGTTCAACGATGAACGTGACAGTCTGTCGAAGGCCTTCCTGGTCCACATGTTGGGGTGGTTACCGGGTTTCTGGGAGGCGGTCGTGGTGTTGACGTACCGCCTGGATGACCTCTGCCATTTGGTGTTCGAAGTTGGCAAGTCGCGCTGCGGCGCCTTGCTTCCGGCGTGAGCGGAGCAATCGTCAGCTTAACAACCAGCGGCTGGAACAACCTCCATAGGTCAAGCGGTCGGCGCGCGAGGAAACGAAACTGATGGCGCCGAGATACAGACAAATTGGAATGGCCGGCCGGTGGAACTTTCATCAACTTCAAATCAGCTGGGCAGCACACCAGCTCCGCGGGCCGATGGAGGCAGATCTTGCTTTGGTGCCTTGAAGAAAATCCTGAGAAGGCCAAAATTGAATACGGAGGTTATGAAGTCAACTTACATTACAAGATTTTGACAGATCCAGCATCAGCTCTCAGTCCAGAGCTGCATGTTATATATATGTAGACAGGGTTTGGTTTCACCCGATTTGGAATCAGGATACTCACACTCTGCACCGCGAGGAGGTACCCGTCCAACGCAGAGCAGGAAAGTAAGGAGTCGTCATTAAGAGCGAGCAAAACGAGGAGACGCCACATTCTCTTTCCAAGAAGGGTATTTGTCCAGATTCGGGACTCAAAGCAAGGTTGGTCGAAGCATTCTCTTGCAGGGCAAATAACTATTGGTTTTCACAGTGCGGAAGTCAGGAGTGTCTGACTCGGGAAAGACAGAGTGTACTTCAATTGCAGCCGTATCACTCTCTTGCAGTAACCGGTGTCATTCTCTTCGGGCATCGTCTATGTCAATCAAGGACGAGACATTGTCCACATCGAGAGAACGCATGCCCGGAGCAAGAGACTCAGCTGGTCGGATACGTCAGACCCATAAACCTCTCCGGCACGCCTGTTCCAGCTTGGGCGGGCCATCGACGGCTCGTCGAGGTCGATTAAGTTGAGATATCGTCAAGGCGTGTGGCCAGTGAAGAGCGGCGATGGGACGTGATAAATCACTGACAGGGCCTAAAGTACCCGATCAACGTTGATTTACAGGTAAATGAAGACGTCCAAAGGAGCCCAGGGAAGGAGCTGGCTGGGTTTTTGTCCGGTCTAGATTGGGGGACCGATACATTTGCATCAGCTCTGGAGGCTTTTCCACAAGCTGAGCGGTTGAGCGAAAATGCATGCTGTCAGTGTCAAAGACGCCCAATCCAGCTGCAATCCCTGGTGGTGGATTCAGATCAGTCAGGCTCTGGTACAACCTGGTGTTGAGGCTCGGCGAGAAGCCATCAGAAAGAATACTCCGTCTGGGAAGCTGATACTCGTCGTGGACTCGGACATGGCAGGTCATAGTCTTTGGCTGAGGCTGTCTTCTCGACTGGAGATTGCGAACATTGTAGGGATCCTGGAGCTTTGGATCTGGAAGATCGTAGTTCACTTTGACGGTGAAGGGGCTCGCGTGTTGGGCTTTTTCGAGAGTGGCACGAGATGAGAAGACGACATCCATCTCCAGCTGCTCAGCATTGCCAGGGACAACGTCGCGACGCGTCATGAAAGAGAGGACAGGGCCAAGGGACTGGAGCTTCTTCAAGACTGCCGTTGATTCACCCAGAGTAGTTGGAGCGGGGGAGATGACGAGCTGAGCAGCAAGCTGCTGGAGGGGGAGCTTTGTGATAGACATGAATCTGTGTCTCTACGGTTGGAGATTCGAGTCCTTGAGCAGAGGGGAGGGAGACCGAGAGTCTCGTGGCGGAGTATGAAGTAGACAGGCTCGAAACTCACGATAGGGGGGGAATGATTCGAGGTTTGCGAGTTTGGTGTGGCCGACTCGCCGTGTAAGTTGGCAATGAGCCTTGGCGCTGGAAAAGGAAGACGCAACTCCACGAGACCTGAATTTTTCCGACAATTGATCCGAGGAGCTTCATACTGTAGCTGAGGATCACTAGGAGTTGGGGAGCTTTGAAGGCACGTGACTTCGCAACTCGCGACTCGGGCGACCAAGTCCTGCACCCCCAAAAATAGAGGCCAGTGGAAGGGCCCCCACGTCCCAACGACCTTCGGGCTGCACAAGGCCCCGCTGGAATTATTCGCTCAGGCCACTGCGCCCATCTCAAACTCAACTGGCAGTTCTGGCAGCCCCGAGCCTCTGCGAGTTGCCTGCCGCGGTCTGAAGGTCTCCTCCAACATCCGTCCCTATGTGCCTACAAGAGTTAGAGCTGACGAGATCTACCAGAACTGTAACCAACTGTCTCAACCATCAAACTCCTCCTTAATTCCCTTCATTCTACACATTCTCTTCTCTTCTATTTCTCTCGCTCTTCTTGGGTATTCTTCTTCACTGCCCGCAGTCAGATCAACCGCCAAGTTTGAGTCGCCTCCACCGACCAAGCCAAAGAGTCTTTTCCAGCTGCTTTACTGCCTTGGCTCGCCAGCTTCGCCCGTTCCAGACGCGCTTTGGACCAATCCTCATCTGCCACTCCCCCCCCTCCTGAGTTTCAGCCGCACCCAGTTCCTCGAACCGAGTGAACTCTGCCACCTGCGCTCCCAAGCCGACCCTGAACCGTCGAGGCCATCACTTGACCCTCCCTGTCACCGTCAAATCTTTGCAGTTCTATACCTGTATCACCCCCAGCCCTATTTCGTTCAGCATTGGAACGTCACTGAGCCGGACCACAACCGACCGTAGTTGTGGTAGCCCAGATCAATCCAAAGGCAACTTCATAAGCAGCTGCGCTTCGAGCCGTCAAAATTCGCGCACACGAGTCTCGCGCTTCCCTCCTCGGAGGCCAGCCCGACACCTATCGACCTTTGCCCGGAGGCTATCACCGTCGCGAGGGTTATGTGATGAACGACTTTGACAAGAGAAGATCAAGATCAATCATGTATCGACCAAATTCAAAATGGACATGGGCCTTCTCCCTCATCGCCTTGGTCCAAGCCATGATCATTCTGGCATTTGAGAGGTATGGCCATGATAGTCTCGTCGTCAATTGAATCACTTCTAACTTCTTTTGTTTTTTCAAGCTATGTCTTTGCTCACTTCCAGATACACCTCGAAAGCATTCCCGGCAACCAGACGTCGTCTCGCACGATCCCGACCTTCTTGACCTTGTATATTTTCGGATTTCTGTATCAGCTAGTCCTCGTCTGGGACGCTTTGCGGATGAAAAATACCATTCAGGTCATTGGCTTGGTCATGTACAATGTCGGCCTGCTCATCTATGGCTCCGTGCAGATGGACCAGATCAGAGAAGCGATTCTGCAGCTGGCCGAAGATGATTATATCCGCAAGAACATTTGGTCAGATACCGAACCGTTTTTGATCGCCATCCCGTGCATTTTGGCGGTCGGTACAGTACTTATGGCCGGCTGCGCCTGGAAGCTGTATGACGAATTTGCCTGGACAATTTACAAACGCATCTCGGCCGACTTGAGGATGAAACGACGCTATCTTCAGTACCAGGTCTACATCGCCCTGTTGAAGTTCGATTTCTTCTTCTTCCTCGGATTTACCGTCCAATTCGTGGTCATTGTCACCCAACGACAAATCGAGTTCGCCCTCACCATTGCAGCTATGCCTGTCACCATTTTCATCCTTCTGGCAGCCGCCTGGTTCGTTCGGAAAGAGTCTCTCTTGGGCACCATTGTTATTATTGTAAGTATACACCTCCAATTTCCCCTCTTCGGCATATCCCTAAACTTGTACGTCACAGGTACTTTACTTCGGCGGTCTAGCCTATTTCATTTTCAAGATGGTCCGCATGTACTCTCCGGGGTGGGAAGTTCCTTATCTGCCGGCGCGAAAGGAACTCACCACGTTTGCTGTCTTGACCATCATCTTGATCCTTGTCACCATTACCTACGCTTGCGTTTGCGCTCACAACTATAACAGGGGACTGAAGCCCTATGTCAACAAGCCACAGAACATCGAGGATGATGAGAAACCCATGGGAGGAAGCGCATATGCTCCTTTCGCAACTGAAATGGAACCATCAGGCAGCGGAAAACTCCCCGCGCCAAGGCCTGTCGCCAACCGGATGGAAATTGATTAAATGAGATGTCCAAAGCAGTGTCAGTTCTTTTTCTTGTGGATACTATGTAGCGGGCGTTTGCCATGGATGGTTCGTTACTATCTTTCAAACATTTGCGCGGCGTTCAATTTTCCCCCTGTCATGAGGAGTTCGGGGCTGGCATTGGTTGAATGAAAGATATACCTTGGGAATCAGGCACGAATTGGGTATGGAAATGTGAATATAAATGCCAGTGGGAAGGGGGACGGAGGAGGCGTGGTAACGCCAAACGTCGCTGTAACGAACGAGTACCTGTACCCTTTTTGGGCATGTATATCTCTAGGTTGGTAGGGAGGTAGGGAGGTAAGGAGCTCGTTCACCCTAAGCCTCAAGGCCGCCCAACGACCGGGCGGACATTTTAAAGGGACGGCGCGCTTGAGTTGAGTGATATGAAGTGAAGGAGAGGAAATGTGTGATTCATACCAGTCAGTGATTTCTCATTCGTTTCTTCATTCTTGGCTTCAAGCTTCTCGAGGGCAAAGCCTATTGCTACCAGTATGTTCTGTAGGTATGTAGTATCAGCCTTAGCCCTGACCTCAAGCTGGTGATAGATGGCACAGAGAGAGACACACTCACACACTCACTCACACTCACTCACAGACAGAGACACACACAGAGAGAGAGAGCACGCGTTCGCGCGTAAGGGATGGTGCAAGAAGGACGAGAGAACCAAAAACATGACAAGAAAGAAGAAAAGAAAAAATACGTAATCTCTATCACGCCGAATCTCAATCCAATCCAATCCAATTCCACCCCAGTACTCACTCCCTCTCCCTCCCAGCCACTCTCGTTCTCACCCCCGCCCACCCGCCCCAGATATCTACTCGGCCATGAAAATCTGCAGCATCTGCGGCAAGTTGTGCCTCTTCTCCTCGACCATGTCGTCCGACACCTTCCAGAAGGCGGTTGGTCCCGCGGGGCCGTGCACGTCGTAGTCCTTGTCGAACCAGTTGCCCAGGATGCCGCGGGCGCTGCGCAGTCCGCCGATCTGCACGCCCTCGGAGCGCCAGCGCTCTTCGCCGTGGAAGATGGAGAAGGACGTCCAGCGGATCGCCTTGGTAGGGGTTTGGCGGACGGAGCCTGGGAGCGAGGTTTGTCAGCGAGGTTTAGAGTCGGTAGGGAGAGCGGGAGGCGGAAAGGAAGGCAGGGAGGGGAAGGACGGGGATGAGGGAACTCACCTCTTATCCTGGAATGGGCGTTAGGATCCCACGCCATAAAGGTGCTCCGACTGGTCCCTTCGAAATACACCACCGGCAGCAGATCCTCTCCGTCTTCTCCTTTCTCCTCTTGCTCCTCGATCCTCGTGACGTGCAACTGCAAGCTGATCAGTCGGAAGGCCTCTCGCGTCGTAATGGGCTCCCGTTCCTGATCCATGGGAATGTCGATGTTTCTTTCGAAATTGAACCGGTACAGGTCGTTGTAGTCGAGGAAGCAGACGATGCGCATCCACGTCCCCGTGACGCCATAGGGGTCGAGTGCGTCCAGGCTGGGATTAGGAGCCGGTTTGATTTTCCCCGTAAGCGGGGACGAGACGTAGCTGTCGGGCGCGATGCCGGAGAAGGGGGTTTCCCAGGGTTTGAGGATGTTGGATCGGGCTGACGAGGCTGAAGATCTGCTTCCTTCGCCCGTCGATGGTGGAGGAGAACCGCGGAGGCCGCCGAGGACGTCTGTGTCGCTCAGTCCGCGTCGTTCGGTGTACATTCTGTGATTATAGCCAAGGACGATCATGATGGCCTGTACCTTCTCCCAATCAATGCGTTGGGTGCCGTCGTCAGTGAAGGGTCCCCACATGTTTAAATGGTTGTATCGGCGCAAGTCGTACACTCGGGATCGTGCCCAGGGGTGCACATCTCGCATGGGGCGTGGGCTGCTTCGGAGGAGATGACTTTCTTCTTCGCTTTGGTCATTCTCGTCGATGTCCGGGTCTTCATAGTCGTCGTCGTCGTAGCTATCATCAAACGGGGCACGAAGAGGAGACACTACGTGCGGACACAATCGGCCAGCCCCGGTCGGCCAGGGGGCGTCCAAGTTCGTGCCTGCCAGAACATGGAGTTGGGCGGAGAGTTGACGTAGTTCCTCCGAGGACGCGGCGGGCCATTGTCGAGGTCGGGCGCGGGCGAAGAGGCTAGATCTGCATAGTATAGTAGTGATGTTGATGCCCTTTGAGTAGAGATTTGACAGGAAGTCGGTAATCTTGGTGGATGATGCAGTGGCTTGCTGGGCCAGCCTCAGGGTCTGTGTTAGCACTTCTTCCAGCGACTGGGTCTGAAGCGCAACGTTAGTGAGACGGGGATGGCTTGCAGAGACCAAGGAGCAGATCATGCCTTTATGTCGGCGTTGTCCGATTCAAGGATCTTTTGCAGGTTCACCAAGCGGGACAGTCTCTCTCGCCAGGACTTGGTGTCGTCGTCTACAGGGGGATCCTGATGGGTCAACCCTGGTCAGCAGGCGGCTCCTTCAATATCAAATGACGGTGGAAGCCGGCCTCGACTCTTCTTACAAAGCGGGCCAGATACTGGAGTCTCCAGAGGAAGTCATCGTTTCTGATGCAGCTGTTCAGGTGGCGACATGTCCTCGCTAGAGACGCCAGGTCGGCCGGTTCAACGTTCTGGAAGATATTGTGTAGCACTTCAGGAGCCAAGTCAAGGAGCTGGTAGTGAGCCATGGCGACGAATGCAGCTGGACGGCCAGCGGGAGGGGAATAAGCGGGCGGGGAGGGGTTCGAATCGAGGGCAACTGGGCGGTCTGCTATACTATATCTCTGTACTTAATCTTGCCCGAAACATCGACGGGGAATTTTCAGGCTTCGATCATGTTTAAGATGAACCAGATGAATAGAGACCACCGTGAGTAGATGGTGAGAGTTGGCGGTGGTCCGTCGCGAGTGAAGCTGTGGTTGGAATAAAGGAAGATGCCGGTGTCTTCCCGAGCATGTTTGCGGTTCGGAGATAAGAGGTCATCTCCATCAACACCCATCACTACTATACCGAGTAGTCACTACGATGTACACATATCCATCTCCCCGCGAGGTCACTTCCATCGAAGTCGGCCTTCGGATGAGCACGCAACAGACCTATATCTCAAATACATACTGCTGCTGGTACGATGGAACCCCTCTCGCCTGCAGACTCGGCTCCAACAGACTCGGCTCCAGCTCCAGCCACAATTGGTTGTGTCTCGACTGGTCCGCCTGGCCCGTCCACAGAAACTGGCTTATAGTCCTTTGGTACTGATCATAGTCCCGCAACCCGTGTCTGCGGCATGCCTTCCCCAGCATAAAGACGAATGATGCGTGAACAGCTGCCAGAGTGCTAGTCAGCGCTCCCGTCGACAGAATCCATATCAACATGGCCGGAGCGAAGTCCAACTCTGAGAGGTCCTCGTCCATGGTCAAGAGCGTGTCGTAAAGCTGTGTAGACAAGACGTTGAAATGTCGGTACTTGAGCGGGTTGCCTCGCAAGTGGTGGTGGGTGAAGAGCAACGCCGCCAGAGACACTGCCCGCCAAACCGTGGCGTCCCACCGATTGTTCCCGGGTGCGGTGTCCGCTTGGACGATGAGTCTCAATTTTCTTTCCACCCGATGGAACATATCACCGCGCCGCATCCTTCCCTCTTCACTAGTGGTGCGTAGGGGGTTGTTTTGCTCCGCAGTACAGAGATTTCGAATGTCGCTCAGGAGATCTAGGACCTTGTGACGAGGAACGCCCGCCGCCCTCAGCTCGGCGCGGCTCAGGCCAGGCAATTCTCCAGACAAGTTGCGCCGCTGAAAGGCTGCCCAGGATTCATCCCACACCTCGATTGGTGGGAATCGCAGTCTTTCGTCAAAGACTTCCGAGTATATTAGATCGTTCCAACTGATCAAGCGTTGCAAATGTTGCTGAACCCCCGAACTCAGAGACGACATGCCGCCCCGCATTTCGACAATGGCGTGCAATCCTGCCATGTGCTTGGTGGCCTCAGCGTATGAATCCATCACAAGGGCAATATTAGTCAGGGCTGCCACCGCCGCGATGGTTTCATCACTCGCTGCCCGCTGCGAATTTGACAGACGGTCGTTAATTAATGAGATGGCTGCCAATTTATGTTGGAGTGTCTTCATTTCTTCCTGAGAATCCGGAATTGGTCGGCGATGCCGGAAATGAACTCCCCAGCTGTACATTGTCGCATGAAAGACCAGCTGGTCGCTAATGGCAAATTCGGACCACGTACTCTGCCCATTGATTGGACACCACGGGTACCTTTCATAGTGACGGAATAGGTAGAGCCTTGCGTCGTCCCCTTCAGTTAAGCGAACTGGCAAGACACCGAAAACATCGATATTCCGCGACCCAATCCACGTCACCGGCATCCCAGGTACAAATCCCGACTCGGCAGCCCCCTGCCGCCGCGTACTGACAAGCGATTCTGTCTTGTCTTTTGGAAGCTCAGATCCGGCGTCGTTGCTGTCAACCTCTCTCGTCCGGTCGGTCTTCTTCTTACCCTTTCGATGTCGAGGGGGATATCTTAGCTCCAGCTCACCAGATCGCATTCTAAACCTCATCTTCTGCCCGCCAGCTGCAGTAGCCCTTTGTTTGTCAGTCCGCAGTCTGTCTCCTGCAAATGACACCACAGTGGCCTTCTTTGGATCTGCCGCTTGCTGCTCTGCATGACTTCGTTCCAGATAATTGTGCATAACATGTGCGCGCAGCGTTTTGAGCTGCTTGCGGTCCTTCTGCTTTCGACCCGTGGACGCGACGAACAAGAATCCACCCTGAGCAGGCGCATCCTCGGGCCCTCCATCAGGCCCTTGTTGGGGGGCATATGCACCTTCACTAGCTGGAGGACTGCTCACTTCGGGATCTGGCCTCGAACGGGTCGGTGGTGTCATGTCGTTGAATGCTTAGATATGGATTTCTGTTTCGACAGGATTCAACCGGTCAACTTCGGTGCTCGATGGGGTTTACCGCTTCATCCTCCAGCACTCGGTTGTCTCAAATATCAAAAGGGACGATCTGGTCGTCCAGCCTCAGCCTGTAAAGACGGTACATACCTCCCTGGCTCGCTCCACATGTTGGTAGGTGCGCTACTGCTTATGTAACACAGCCGAAAGGAGGATTACTCATCAAAGATTCTTGCGCCGTCAACGCCCCTGAATCGCATCATCCACTCAAGATTTCGGAAACACCTTCAGCCACGCCAGATCGGGCAGTAGTTCGTTGCTTCCAACGATATCCACCATGACAGACCTTGTTACATAACCCGCAGCGACATGCAGATGATTACCGAGTAGATTCCCGAGGATGCACCTTCCAGCAAACAAGATGTACTCGCTAAACCAGTTAAAAGAGTACCCAGGTACTAACCCTGTTGAGCAACATCCATATCGATGGCGGATTCGTGTCCTGGCATATGGCATATGAGATGGACGGATGAGAATGACAGGCAGTTCAAGCTTGGATAGAAGAACGGCTGGACAGAGCAAGACAAGGTTAGGGAAAGGGACGCTTGAAATGGCTCCCATGTCCCCCTTCCGATCAGGACATGTCGAGGAACTAAGAACGGGCTCGAGTCGTGAAAAGAGCCACTCATCGCACGACCTCGACGTTCAGCAGCATCCTCACAGTACTTGTACTCATAAGTATTATCAGGCGTCCTTCTTCCAAATATACCACCTTTTATTGAAAACGCCCCCCCTGACAACGGCAAGTCCGGTGGAAGACGATTTCCGGACCCCGGCGTGCACAGACCAATTCATCAGGCGCGTAATATGGGATAACGCGGCCGTTATGCCACCTTTATGCATGCGACAACATCTGGCGACCAACACAATTCCATGGTGGCACTTTTCGATACCGAGGACTGCCACAAGTGTGAATCCTTCTCGATAGGCAGCTTACTCAGTAATACGGGGAACAACTACTGGCGGTGATCGCCATCCACCAATATCGTTTCATCACGGTGATCAACACCCCCCATGCTGCTAGGATTCCCGCTATTGGCGGGGACTGATATGATGGGGTTGCCTTAATGCTTTCCGTAACACTTAGAAGGTGGCGTAGAGATATGACGTGGTCAGCGATGTCCCTGGGCGCATCTCGAACGTTTTCGATAAGTCTGACAATCCCCAGAACTTGCTGGGCGAGTTGCGAGGCTGCAGCCGCCGCGCCGAGCGCTTCTAGTCCGGACGCCATCGGCACCCAACGGTGACTTCTTGAAGTCGGGAATATTTCGCATGGGTGTATCCTTGTTGGATTCTGACCAAGGAAGAGATATAAGTAGACATCAGGACAAGATTCGTAGGTTGTTGTCGTTGTAAGGCTGAGCAGGAGCAAGCTCGAGTGTGCTTGGCGAGCTGCCTCAATTGCTGTGTCCTTGCACTCTCTCTAGCGCCTTGGCAGCATCGTGGGGTTAGAGAGCCTTGCATCGTTCTCCTATGCAGAAGAACAGCCGAGCACAAAGTAGATAAGAGAGGTGTTCAAGCAGAATCAGCTAGCAAGTAGAGTGAGTGGACAAGGCAGAGGGAGCTCCGAACCGCTACTGGAACAAGATTTGACCTCACAACGACTTCGGAGGCATCCCGAGCAAGGCTCCCCCTTGGGTCATGGGCAAAGCGAGGCAGGAAGGTCCGTATTTGAAGACGCCTTACTTACGCGCGCAAGTAGCTGGTTAAGTACGGATTGGTCATGTAACTAACTACCAGATTCACAGGGACGCCTCGAGCCTCGTGAACGACATGGAAGGCCGATACTCCGCAAACAGAAGGTACGGATACATCCACCAAAAATGGGTTCGCACTGTTACAGGTCACCCTCCCCCTCTTGACTCCGAATCGTTAAGCCCGAATCAAGCTCCCAGTACTTCATTTTCGGCACGTAGTAACGACTCGCCGTCTATCTCCGCTTCCTGGGACCTGTGTGGGAAATAAATCAACCTCAAAACCACAACAGAGGAAATCCCATTCCCCTGAACTCCACGCTCAAATCAAAGTGCAAAATCCTCCATCGTTCGTAAATCTGATCCGTCCTTCATTGAAGTCTTTCAAAAGGTTCTCGGCCTTATTCGGTGCCACCAACACCATATCGATACGTGCCACACAGACCAAAGACCCAACCCGCCTCCCTCGTGCCCGGAAATTGCATCATATAAACCCGTTGATTGCCCAAAGTCACACCGCCTGTATCTGCAATGACATCGTCCTCGCTCCAAGTTTTCAGTGCAATGCCAGTCTGCATAACTCGCTCGAAGCAGCTTTCACCCAGCACACTGTCTAATAGGACAACGTCGCGGTTCTTGTTCCGCGTAATGAGAATGCGCTTCTCGCGACCGTTACCGTGAATTCGGTGCGGGGTGTGGTTCGAGCTTGGAAGTCGAGGCCCATGGTTTTGTCCTCGTTGACCGGCAGATGTAATGTTGGATGGAGATCGAGGAGGGCCTCCTGTCGCTGGTGGCGATGCTCCTGGGGCCAGTACTGGTCGATTCGGTGTTGCTTGGCCACTTTCTGCTGTGGCCGATGGTACTGGAAGGACTGTGAGACGGGCAGCTCCCAGGTTTTCCCAATGTTGTCCCTTCCTGACGTATAATCGAATTTTCATATTGTTAACCATGCCCCCTCCTTCTGCTGCAGCTGCACTTGTCGATGGGACATTGGGACCATCCTTTCCTGGTATGAAGCCAAGCTGGCTGGGC